GGGGCGTATGTTTTGGTAAGTATCAAGAATTTAACTAATAGGCTACGTGTACTTTTTGGGACCATAATGTAAAGGGATATCGTAGTGTTTCAGATATTCTGGTAAGGAAATGTACGAAAATTGATGGTGCAACATGTTTAGTTTGTTAAAACGAAGTGCTTTTGTTTATCGTGAATGTTTGCTAGATTATTCTCATGTAGTGAACATAAGATATCTTCCATTCTCTTTGTCAGTTCAAACTACACCTTGAGAGTTTAAGTCAACTATCAAGAGCTGTGGGCTGCTAGGATATATCTTAAATAACCTTGTTAAGTTTCTTCTGTTGTTTCATGGATTTCTTGATACTATAGGGAGAGTTGATTATCAACTTTCTCATTGAATTCAACTCTAAGTTGGTTGCAGACATAAATCCTGGTGTGAAAGCTTTAATGTTGTAAGTTGCTGAAAAAGTTAGAAAGTCATTATGCTACAATTTTACAGCACATTTACGGAATATCAGATGGGAAAGAGCTGGGTCCAAGCTTTGCTAAGCTGAGTTTGGTTTTGGAAGCCCAATCAGCTGTCCTATTGGACATGGTAAGTTCTTGAATGAGTAGTTTGCTATATAAAATTAGTCTGTTTTAGGTACTGTCCTGAAATATTTGGTCATTGGCTCTCGAAAGTTATAAACGTGTAAGCAAAGAGAGGTCATTTTTCATTCAAAGAACACTGGTTTAGGATATCGGTTAACTTGATTTCAATGCTACATGTATTACTTTGATGAACTCATTAGCACATTTATTTGTAGGGGTTTAGATAGCCATATATTCCTGGATATGGTTATAAGTTGGAAGTTTTTAAGAATTGTTAATATTATATCTTTCGATAAGGGAAATTTCTGTATTATTAGATCATTCTATTTTGAAAAAATAACCCTTCTGTGTTATAGTTTATCACTTTAAAAACATAAGAAAGAGAAAACTAAAGAAAACCAGCATGTTCCAGTTATAAAATTTGGAAAACATTTACAAAACAAGACCTCTTTGAAACTTAAACATCTATAGCTTATGTCTTATAAATGAGCAGAAAGACTCTTTCTGATTGCTTCGTTGCCCCACTTGTAGCTTTAAATTGAATGCCTGTACGCAATACTACTTGTTGCTTTTAGTCCAGCTAGTCAATTGAATTAATGTGTTAGGAATCAAGAACTAGTATTTTTAAATTTATTCAGTCATTTACTCTTCTGAAGTCCTTATATTAGCATCAAGGTGAACTTAGATAAAGCTATAAAATTTTACTCTATATTTGAGCCATCTTTATGATACTCATCAGTAGTTAACATTTGTGCAGACGGCAGGTATGGCGGAGTGTCATCCAACATATAGACTCAGTTTGTAAGAAATTCTTTTTCCCAGACAGTGGCAATATTAGACTCAGTTTTCAGTTCCTGTCATGATTTAATAGTTGCTGCATTCGCAAGCAATTCTTTTTCTTGGACACTTTCCACAATTTTTGACCTTGTTTAAGCCTGTTTAGTATTTGTAGCGAAAGTTCAAATTAGCTTGGATCATCTCTGCAACCCGAAGCTTGATATTGAAACTTGAAAGTTGAGACCTATCTATTTCTCCAGATCTGTAAGTTAATGAAAGTGGTGATGAAATCTAGTGAATTATGAATGAACTTTGGTTCATTATTTGTTTTGCATAGTGCAGTTGCTGCCTCAATTTTACTTAACCAATACTTTCGTGATGGTAGGTTTGATGATTTAGAAGGTCATAGCTTATACCGACTTGGAAATCCTGTTGACCTGACTTGTTACTGCTGAGGATTGATGTGAAGGGTTGTAAATGGAGATCATCTCAATCAACAGAGTTATCTTCCACTGGTGAGTATATATGGTTGAGCTACTGTAATGTATTTGTTAAGCTGGACTGAAAATGCTGTAATGGAACTTTGATTTAAAGAATTGTTTCTGGACTTGGTGCTGACATTATACTCAATATTAGCGACATTTCTAGTGCAGAACTCCAAGATGAATTCTTCGGACTCATACTACAGGTGGCGTCAATCATAACTTATGAACACCTAAAAAACACTTTTTAATTGGGGAATCAATTAAATCTCTGATTGGTTCTACAATGTGTTGTTGCTGCAGGGGAAGAAAAACTTTGGTTTTGTTATGTTTGTGGCATTACACAACTAATGTCATCCGTTCGGTCTCAATCAGTTGACACCCTAAAGCAAAGAGGGAAATACTTGGATTAGCAGTTTTTCAGTTCAGCTGCATCTAGATGGGGGAAAACAATCAAGAAACCTTTCAGGTTAACGGAGATACTCGAAATCTGGAACTTGGAAACATGTGGTTAGATCTGTTTTTGTTCGAATGAGTATATCAACAAGTGAGGCTGTCATGCAGATTGCAGTAGTGAAGCAAATGGGGGCATCAAGATTTGGGATTTGAGAAACACCTGAAGTTCCCTTTAGTGATGGAAGTTACTTTGGTTCATCACTATTTTCTTGAAGAAATTTAAGAGGGTGAGAGAGAACCGAGTTGAAGTTTCATAGTAACATTATTTGAGTACAAAAATGTTTACCTGACTATTATACCAACACTTCAAGTTTATGGGCTCTCTTTCTTGGTTATGGGATTATTGTTGTTGGTGACACTCTGGTTATTACAAGAAAATTTAGAGTTGACAAGATAGTAATATATCGGGAATATATTGTTCCTGCCACTTCTCAGCAGTCCAATAAATGGCCTGAAACTGGTTTCATGTCACAAAATGCATTGATGAGTTCTCTAGGACTCTCGCCATGTAGGTTTTGCGCAGGTACTGACCCTGAAACATCAACTGTAAATTAAATGTCCTCTAAACAATGTACAATAGAGAAACTCCTGTTTTGAATAGCACAGTCTTGTAGATAGCTCATTCCTTATGCCCTTGATCTGCTAACTTGTTTTTCAATTTTCCCCTAAATGGATGAAATTACAATGTGTTAAATGCCACACAGGGTAGCAGAGAATTCATATCTTTATTGTGATAAGTCAGATGATTTATCATCAATATAATTAAGTGTTCCCCGAGGTTATATTTGTATATTTTGCCTTTACATTCCAGAACTGTCCGTCATTATTGTTCAATCCAGGGTTATGGCACGACTTGAGATCACTACTGCAGGAACAGTAAAGCATGGTTGCAATACGGAGAAAGTTCAGTAGCCTTCCGGACTAGTGAATGAGTGAGCTTTGGAATGCCATTTTACGCAGCTAATTCATCTCAGAAGTTTCTTGGCGTGTAACGTGTTCAATAGATTGTTCCTTGGACCGGTACTTCCAATTGCTGCTTAGCTTTTAGTTTCAACTTCAGTTTTGCCTTGCTTATTGTTGCTGCTATCCTGCAGTGAATAGTGATGCTTATCTCCAAAGTATTAATACGGCCTTAAGATTTCCAAATATGCAGTATTGTTTAACTGATAATAACCATTACGTATTGCTGGCCATATCTGATCTGTTTCTTGGATGTATAATGAAATAGAACACGGCAAGACATCTGCTAGGACATGTAAAGATGAAATACCTTCATATATCCCATAAGTTTTATGAGTAATAACAAGTTTGCTATTGAAGTTCTTCCAAAGTACTTCAAACATAGCAATTTATCCAGTTTCATTTACCAGCTCAACAACTATGTGAGTATTCTGCAAATTTAACTTCTTTATTAGTATGTTTTCTGTGTTGTGTTCCTATTTTTTGTTACTAGCTCAACAACTATGACTTTTTACTGCATTTTCCACTTCTGATATGTTTGCTATGTTATTTTTCTCATTTTTATTGTTTCTTGAAATTTTGGCTTCTCTTCCATACCCTCCCCATTTTTTTTTGTTAGCTCAAAATCTATGTGGCCTCAATGTCATCGTCTTAATTTAACCTTGTAATTACAAGGTAGGGGTAAGGCTGAGTACATATTACCTTCCCAGACCCCACTTGTGGGAACTCAATGGTTTTTTTTTTTTCTTTTCTTGTTGTTGTTGTAATTAGTGTGCATGTGGTGCTTTTATGAATCCGGATTCGGTTTCTTGAAAGCTGTTGCTTTGTTTCCTTTTTCTATTTGAAGTGAAAATTTGGATTGATTTGACAAGAAAGAATGAATCTCAGGGTTTTAAGAAGGTTTGTTCTTACAAAAGTNTTGTTGTTGTAGTAATTAGTGTGCATGTGGTGCTTTTATGAATCCGGATTCGGTTTCTTGAAAGCTGTTGCTTTGTTTCCTTTTTCTATTTGAAGTGAAAATTTGGATTGATTTGACAAGAAAGAATGAATTCAGGGTTTTAAGAAGGTTTGTTCTTACAAAAGTGAGTATGCAAATCCATGGTTTCGAGCTGGGAAAAAGCACTGGCTGAAGAATATCAAAAGCAGGATTCAACTATCCAAAACCAATAAGCCACAACAAGGTTCGCATAGTTCTTGTGTTGATCCAATGAAGGATAATTTGGAAGAGGAGGTGGAGAAGTTGGGGAATGATAACATTAGTCTGAAAATAGAACTTCAGAAGTTGAAAGATAGACAAGAAAACATGAGAGTTTTGTTTCCTACTATGAAAGGATGCAGAAAGGATACAGAAATTAGCAATATTTTGGTAGAGTCGGAGAAGATTCTAGCAGCAATGACACAAGAAAGAGGCCACAAATGGTAGAGTTGCCAGATCGTGTGGCTAACTCTGTCCAGGATGGGATCGGACAGACATCAAGCTCTGTTGGTGGCTCAGTAAGTTCTAATGAACAACAGAAACAAGAAGCAACTGCTAAAAATGATAAGAATCGCGAGTTCTGGGAAAAGCTGTTTGAAGATGATTCAGAGTCTCAAAATGAAGGAGCAGAGGGTGAGCAGGCACTGAATCGATCGAAGGCTATGGTGGAGGGTGCCTACGATTTTTGGAACGGTAATAGTCAATCAATATATGGTTCGATTTTTGCTTTTTATGCAGATAGGAGTAGAGTTTTTCTACAAATTGTGCTTGGCAGAGTATCACCAAACAAAATCGACTCAAGGATTCATATTTCATGATAAAACTACCAGTCCAGACAGAATTATTGTAGCATTTAGAGGTACTGAACCCTTCAATTCAGATGATTGGAGTACAGATTTCGACATATCTTGGTACAAATTCCACTGCGGCTTTACAGCTTCATAACGGAACGGTTGTGTCTTTAAACATTGGAACGGTTGGACCTTTTAAAATTGACCCTTGGAACCTTTTAAACATTAATTAAGTTAAGTAAATAGCAAGAAAAAGAAAGAACGAAGAAAAATAGCAAAAAAAAGAAGGAAAAATTAAAGATAAATGCCAATGCTTGTTAAAGAGATGCATTGACTATAAACATGTAGCTGGACAAGTCGCGAGTGGAAATGTTCTCTGGACGGCAATGTGGTGCTGTCTGAATGTTGACTTGTTGGCTGGATAGAATATTATAGATTGTCGACCTGACAGGTCAATAAACATGGACTAATGATATCAAATTCTAGACAAATGTGAACTGTTGATATGTGGCACGTGCTACCCCCAAAAATGGCCTGAAGCATGTAATAATGGCATTGCTGGACCAGTAACTAGAAAGATACAAGACTAGTAAAATTATGAAATAAATGAAAAACCTTATCCGGATAGGTGGATTTCAATGGAAGATATTTGATATATAACAAGATAGTAAAGTCTCTGATACCTTGTGAAATTAAATAAAAAGAAGCTTCTTATCTAATAGCTTCTCCTGACTTTCAAAATGATACTTACACAATCTTCTTTCTGCTCCAGGAGAAATTAGTTTGGAAAGACTTCAATATTGTGAATGAGGCTGATGGAGTTCAAAAGCCCGTACTTAGGCATTTTAACACCAGTGTTACAGATAATACCTTGGAGATTCGATTTTACTGGGCTGGCAAAGGCACTACCAGAATCCCAGTTAGAGGGAATTACGGCCCCCTCATATCTGCTATTTCACTCAAACCAAGTAAGTTTCCTCAACCTTCTTCATCCAAAGGGGAATGACAAAGTATATCCAATTTTTTAATTCACTTGGTTTCTTTCTTTGTAATATATTGTGTATTTATAGAATGCCTCGTAAAAAATCCTACAGAGATATTCTAGAGATCATACATATCATCTGATCATGTCACAGGATTGGTTACTTGCGTCTAGAAAAACACTGCAACGGAATGAATGATTACATGCTCTGCTAGACTACTTGTGGGGTTGACAATGCTTATCAACTCCCATGTAAAAGATGTTGGTTTTCTAGCTTCCAGGATCCAAGTCAATATGTGGAAAATCTGATCCTAGCCCATTCTTCTCCCTGCTGTTTGAACAACTGTTGGTTTCGGAAATTGCAAAAGATAATTGGTTGAGTATCTATCTCAACAATTGATTTGCTTTGGTCTCTTCAGAGTTTCTTCATTTTTCTAGAGACCACAAGTAAAATATTATCAGCAATCAGCATCAAAGCCAATTTGTGAACCTTTACTTGGCCTGCTACAAGTGATTGAAAGAGTAATTTTTCATTAGCATTCCTAATTTATTGTTGGGCAAACTAGTTTCTTTTAACCAAGCTCTTAAATTTTATTTCTGGCTTGATCTGCTTGTGGTTCCGTACCATCTATTAGTATTAGTATGTTCCCTGATTTGTGTTTCTACAAGCTCTCCTAATTCTTAATGAAAGATAGCTTTTAATTCGCTGGAATTCCTAAAGTATTTGCCTTTCTTTTATATACATATTATATCTATTTAATCAGCTCTTCGTTTGTATGAACATCAAAAGCCAAGTGTAATTAGTCCTTGTAAGTTCCGGGCTTGCAGCAGACAAGTTTTTTTCCCATTAATTTCCCAGCATTACCGGGGGTGTTGTATTATCTTGAAAAGATGGAGGAGGGGATGGCCATGCCTCCAAAGATTACAACACAAGGACACAGAAGGTCCTTCAACGGGAACAGGAGAAGTTTATTACTTACTCACTGTTCGACAAAAAAATCTGCTAAGCCTATTCAACTAACAAAAAAAATTGTCTTACCATATTTTGTTCTAATGGTAGGCATTTGCAATCTGTCCAAGATGAACGGACCTTTGGCACCACTAGGAAGCTGTTGAAAATCGAGGAAAATCCTGTTGACATGGTTTGACAAGGCAAACTTAGCAAGATGGTCAGCCACTTGGTTGGCCTCCCTAAAGCAATCTTGGTTCATGATGTGTGAGGTATCCTCAATAACTCTCTTCAATTTGAAGTTATTGGTTTTCCCCTCCTTGAGCATATTCAATACCAGCATAGAATCAAGTTCAATGGTGAAGTTGGAGTATCCATTAGTTTCACACCAGTTGATCCCAAAGAAGGCAGCTTGTGCTTCAGCACAGTTGTGACTATTGCACTTTGCACTGGCAGAGAAGGCCATAATGAAGTCGCCTTTATCATTTTTCAGGACTCCACTGAGGCCAGCATTGTCATTTCCTTTTACAAAACTTCCATCTGTATTGAGTTTAAGGGAGTTGCAACTAGGCTTCTCCCATCATACAATGATGGCCTCCAGAATGGGTTGTAATTTCATCATCTTCTCACATAAATTGACCCAAGGCAATGTTAAGTTGCAATTAGGAAAGACTCTGTGAATAGCAGCTTGAATGTTCCAGCACACTTGATGTTTCATTTTGAAAAAATTGAATCTTTTTTGATCGCCATATTTACAAGAGCACCTGCTTTTCCAAATCTCCCAACATATAATGATGGGAGTGATATGTAGAACAAGCTTGTGAACATCATTGTTGTGTTTCTGTTGCCACCATTGATTCAACCAACCTCTTATAGGAATTTCCATTGGTTTTATTCCCAGAGGGGAGCCAATAAATTTCCAAATGTCCTAGCTGCATCACTTTCCAGAAAAATATGTTGAATAGATTCTTGTTTAGGGTTAGTGCAACAATTACATTTCGAAACAATTTGCTTACCAAAGTTAAGAATAGCATCATCCAGAGGGAGCTTAGATAACCAAAGTCTCCAAGTTAAGAAAGAGAATTTGAAAGGGATACTAGAATGCCATACCTTGCTGAGGAACTGATCCTTCCCTTTTTTGTTCCTGAATAAGCATAAAGCTGTTTTGTTGGAAAACTTACCATCCTCGGTGAGATCCCACACAGCTTGATCCTTGGCATCCTGCTTGCCTGTATGTATATTCATTATATGTTGAACCATCTCATCTGGTAGCCATTCCTTGAGCTTGTTGGTGTTCCAGGTCCCATCATAGATGAATTCTCTGACAGTAGCTTTGTTGTTGTTATGCCTAAGCATGTATGGGGCTAAGGGACCCTTACCAGTCCAATTGTCCCATCACATACTAGAATTCCCATAATTAATCTGCCAAATGATGTGAGGCTCTACTTTATCTCTGATTTGTATCATTTTTTGCCATACATGTGAGTCACCAAAAGCCTTTTTTTTACTAGTCGGGTGAGATCTTGGGCAATATTTATGCCTCATGAAGGTAGCCCAGAGAGATGGTATGGTTCTAAATCTCCACCACCTCTTAGTTGCAAGAGTGTTAGCAATATCTTCCATCCTTCTCACATCAATGCCCCCTTCATCCAGAGGAAAACAAAGGTTCTTCCATGACCTCCAATGGTATTTCTTTTTGTCTCCAGAGAAACCCCAGAAGAAATTGGAGAAATGTTTTTCGAGCAAATTAAAGGTGCCTTTGGGAGGAGATAAGGCAGAGATAGTATATAGGAAGAGATTGAAGCACATGTTTAATTAAAATCACCTTACCACCATACGAAAGCAGCTTACCATGCCAACTATTAAGTTTCTTAACTACTTTATTCACCATATTATCAAAATACACTAACTTCTTCCTTCCAATATAAATAGGACATCCTAGATAANTTTGGGGGGGGGGGGGTGAATAAAGCAGAAAGAGTATATATAGGGAGAGATGTTTAATTAAGATCACTTTACCCCCATATGAGAGTAGCTTACCATGCCAGCCATTCAATTTTTTAACAACTTTATTCACCATATTATCAAAGTATACTAACTTCTTCCTTCCAATATAAATAGGACAACCTAGATAAGTGAAAGGAAAGTTTTTGTCCATAAAGCCAGTACAATTCCTTATCCTATTAATTCTAACAGGCTAACAGCACAGGAATTAGGTGCAGTAAGGAAAAAACTTTTATCAGTATTCACAAGTTGGCCAGAGCTGGCTTCATAGTTGTTAATGACCTTCTTAATAAGGTTAACGGATTTGTCATTGCCACTTGTAAAAATGACAATATCGTCAGCATACGCCAAGTGATTAATAATAGGACCATTACTAGGCATAGAAAAAGGAATAAAGTTATCATCTAAGAGAAGGTTGTTAAGTGAGCAACTCAAAACTTCAGCTGCTATAATAAAGAGAGAGGGGGAAAGTGGATCTCCTTGTTTAAGCCCTTGACTAGATGTAAAAAAGCCTTTTATGTTTCCATTAATGATTATGGAATACCAAATACCAGATAATAGATTCTGAATCATGTCAATCCACACTTCACAAAAACCAAATTTCCTTAGAACAGAGTTAACAAAAGTCCATGACATTCTATCATATGCTTTTGCCATGTCCAGTTTAATAACAACATTTCCACCCTTATTAGAATGAGAGATAGATTGGACAATTTCTTGCGCTAACAGAATATTTTCCGAAATTAATCTATCTTTAACAAAACCACTTTGATTAGCCGAGATCAATTTGCTTAACAAAGGATTGAGCCTGATAGAAAGACTTTTAGAAATAATCTTATTTGTGAAATTAGCGAGACTAATGGGCCTAAAATCATTAAAGGTGGTGGGGGAATCATTTTTTGGGATAAGAGTTAAATTAGTGTGTGTGTGTAGAACTTAGTAAGGGGCTTACCTCTGAAGAACTCCAGAACAAAATCAACGATGTCTTCCCTGATGATGTCCCAGCAACTTTGAAAGAAAGTTCCATTGTAGCCGTCTGGTCCTGCCGCGCTAGATGCACCTAAGTTGAAAACAGCATATTTGATTTCCTCTTCAGTTGGATTCTTTGTAAGGCTGTCATTCTCTTCTTTTGTAATCTTGTTGGTGATGCATTGGAGAATGTTGGTGTCCATATTAGCTGCTGGAAAATTGAAGAGGCCATTAAAATGTCTAATGGCTGCTTTGGCAATCTTATCTTCCCCGGTAATCCACTTTCCTCTATGGTTCTTGATTCTTTCCAGTTGCAATCTTCTCTTTTCTCTTTAAGCTTACTGTGAAAGTAGTTGGTATTTCTATCTCCCTCCTCAAACCAATTGATGTTAACCTTCTGAGTGATAAGGGAATCCTGTATAGACAACCACCTAATGTATTCAGCATGTGCTTTATTGGTCTCTGCCCTAGCTGATTCCGGGTTATTAATAATCTCCAATTCTTCGAGCCTTTGCACTTTGTCTTCTCAATTAATAACTTGTTCATGGATGTTGCCAATGCTTTCTCTTGACCACTGACTTAGTCTTTTGCTGAGAAGCTTTAGCTTTGTTTGAAGTTTCCACATATGGGTGCCATTGATTTTAGTGTCCCATACTTCCTTAACAAGCTCGAGAAAACCACCTTGTTTAGTCCAGAAGTTGAGAAATTTGAAGTACTTTATGTGATTATTAACAGTATCAAAACACTTTATGAGTAGAGGCCTATGATCCGAGCCAGTTCTCACTAAATGCGTGACCGTGGTATTTTGAAATCTTTGAGCCCATTTGTCATTTATGAATACTCTATCCAGTCTTTTCCAAATTCTTTTCCGTGGTCTCCAATTATTGCATCAGGTGTATTTAGCACCAAAGAAACCAATGTCAGTCACTCCACAGTTGTCCATGCACATTTGAAAATCAAGACTCTTGTACATTCTATGAGGCGTACCACCTAGCTTCTCATCGGGTTCCAAGATAACATTGAAGTCGCCTCCAATACACCAAGGGCCATCTATTGCTAGACTGATATCCTCAAGGTTGCACCATAAGTCTTTTCTTTCTCTTGAGGTGCATTTGGCATAGACTGCTGTGATAAAAACAGAAGGATTGGTCCGACCATCATCCATCTTTATAGAGATTTGTTGTTCCTCATTTGCAATAACAGTAGCTTGATTGACGTTTTTCCAGAAACACCAAATCTTACCATTGTCATTGGAGACGCATTCTTTAAAGCCAAGAAATTTGCGATATCCTTCAATTCTCTCTTTGCTAACCATGGGTTCCATTATGGCAACAAAAAGGATACAATTGATGTCGATTAGTTGTTTGAGCCTATGTATGCCCTTGTTTGACCTCACTCCTCTAATGTTCCAAAAGATTGTGCTAATCATGAGAAACTTGAGGAGAGGTACCATTTTTTTGTCTCCTTCTTAGAGAAGGTGTGTTGTTGTTTTTGTGTTTTTTTCTGACCTTACTCTGCTTCTTCCTCTAAGAACTGCCAAACACACTTCTTCATCTGAGTTTACTCCTCCTCTGTCATTGTTTTGAATCTGTTGAAGTTCTTGAGCATCTTGGTGTAAGGTGGGATCCTCTACTATATGATTTGTAGTTATTCCTCCTGAAGTGACTTCTGCAAAATTAAGTTGGTTAGCATTCAAATCTACAACAATATTAATACCTGGGTGTTCACGGGTGTATGTTGGAAGGCTTGAAGAGCTCAGAACTTGTTTCTGCCTCTTTGTCTTTAATGAATTTAACATGATCTTGAGCCTCATTGCTTTCCTTCAGCATGTTATTTTCAGATTTCTCCTCTTCTCTTGAACCTTCACAATTATTTTTGTTGGAGTCCTCGGCTTCTTTTTCCTCCATAACACTAGTCTTATTTATGTCTTTTGTATGATCAGGTATATATATATATATATAAATATTTCGATTATTATTTTAAAAGCTACTGTACATAATATTACATACATACAGTTCCAGCACCAATCATTTCCAACTTTATACGTAGTTTTCCCTCTTTTTTGCTGTTTATTTCTTGGAAAACAGGTGGTTAGATCTGTTTTTGTTCGAATGAGTATATCAACGATGATGTCATGCAGTTTGCAGTAGTGAAGCAAATGGGGGCATCAAGATTTGGGATTTGAGAAACACCTAAGGTTCACTCTGAAGTTCCCTTTAGTGATGGAAGTTACTTTGGTTCATCATTATTTTCTTGAAGAAATTTAAGAGGGTGAGAGAGAACCCAGTTGTCTCCAAAATTACGTTGATGCATCAATTTTTCCAATGCAAATATTAATAGAACAAAACTAGGTATTGGTTCTATAATCAGGATACGAGTTGTATAACTTGTGTTCACAATCCTACTTTTATTTTGGCTTTACGGTTCCAGATATCTTTTCTATTCAATCGGATTCTCGGTTATTATTAAAAAAACTGTTCTTAGTTTCTGCCCAGAAATGACTATTCAAAATGTCAGTAACTTTCCACAAATTTATTTCGAGTTCATTCTTAGTCCCCTTGAACACCATTGTTGCTGGTATTATTTAGTAATTTCAACCAAACAACGCATTATACATGCCGATTAATTTTTTCCCTGCATGATTTACAGGGAACATCAAAGTAAACCACAAGATAGACATGAACAACTATATACAATATATGTATTCAAAAAGTATAGAGGTGTAAGAATGATTAGCACTTTAGCAGAAACCTTTATGGAAAACAGTTATATGTAATCTTTATTTGA